TGTGGGAAGCAGAGAGCAGACATGCAGGAGGGAGCCCTGCCCCAGGTTAGGCAAACAGGCAACAAACGCGTCTGGAGGGGTTGGTGCGGTCCTGAGTGCAAGTGGGTGTGGAGTAACTGGAACCACTGGGCCAGTTCCTCTGCAAGCCCAGCAGGATCCCAAGCCAAGCCCCACACTGCGTGAGGTTCATGAATGGTAGAACAGGGTTGCAGCCCCATCACCACAGCAGGAATAGTGCCAGCACCTCAGGAGCTGGTGCCAGGCTGCACACACGCAGGCGTTTCACCCCACAGTGCCAAGGATGGCCTTGTCCTCACAACCTGGGTGGCTGCTGGAGCACCTTGACACCTGGCCACCCCTGGCTGCATGGGAGTCTTGGAAATGGGCTCCCACAGCCAGGCAGCTGCATGCAGGCTGGAAACCAGCGTTGTCACTCAAGCAGAGGAGAAAATGGCTGCTAGGGGACCACCAGCATCCATGCCATGAAGGTGAATCAGAGACAGGTCCCGCTGGCAGCAGCACTTTTATCTTTTGGGGGCCTTAAAGTTAATTTTTGTTAAGCCTTGAATTTTGGTAAATCCCCAGCCCTGAAAAGGGTGTGAAAATCAGGACTTCTGAACCCAAGCAAAACAATACAAAGTTGGGTTTGGGGAAAACGGTGGAAAGAGTCCAACCAGTTGGGCACAGTGGCTCACACCTGTAATCCCAGCACTTTGGAAGACTGAGGTAGGTGAATGGCTTGAGCCCAGGAGTTGAGTCCAGCCTGGGCAACATGGCAAAACTCCGTCTCTACAAAGAAAAAAAAAATAGAAAAAATTAGCCAGGAGTGGTGGCACGTGCCTGTAGTCACACAGCTACTTGGGAGACTGAGGTGGGAGGATCACCGGAGTCCAGGGAGGTCAAGGCTTGAGTGAGCAGCAGTCGTACAGCTGCACTCCAGCTTGGGTGACAGAGTGAAACCCCACCTCAAAAAAACGGTCAGTGCAGAAAGCCTCTAGCCAGACTGACAAGTACGCGTGTAAAAAACCTCAGCCTGGCCGGGCATGGTGGCTCACGTCTGTAATCCCAGCACTTTGGGAGGCCGAGGCGGGCAGATCACCTGAGGTCAGGAGTTGGAGACCAGCCTGACCAACATGGAGAAACCCCATCCCTACTAAAAATACAAAATTAGCCGGGCATGGTGGCGAGCGCCTGTAATCCCAGCTACTCTGGAGGCTGAGGCAGGAGAATCTCTTGAACCCAGGAGATGAAGGTTTCCCTGAGCCAAGATCGTGCCATTGCACTCCAGCCTGGGCAATAAGACCAAAACTACATCTCAAAAAAAAAAAAAAAAAAAAAAGGCCTCAGCCTTCTCAGCAGTGCCAAAAAAGCCTCACTTTTCTAAGCTGAAATGCTGTCATCTGCTCAGTGGAAACCTCACAGCCAGAAGACTTCTTGCCAATCAAATTACTGTTTTCTTTTTACCTGTGGGAAAGGAGATTAACTTCACATCCATGTGGGTCCAATGTGCAGCCCCCTAAGGGTGCTCTGGGAGGCTTTAGGAAGTGTCTGCTGGCTTGAAATAGAAATGCAGAAGCAGCAGCCTGCTGGGCAAGTGCAGCCTTTTAAGCCACTGCTAAGACAAGCAGGTCCCAACTGTGGGAGGCTAGAATGTTCTTAAAAGAGCAGTGAGCCGGGCACGGTGACTCACGCCTGTAATCCCAGCACTTTGGGAGGCCAAGGCGGGCGGATCACTTGAGGTCGGGAGTTCGAGACCAGCCTGACCAACATGGAGAAACCCCATCTCTACTAAAAATACAAAAAAATTTGCTGGGCGTGGTGGTGCATGCCTGTAATCTCAGCTACTCAGGAGGCTGAGGCAGGAGAATCGCTTGAACCTGGGAAGCGGAGGTTGCGGTGAGCCAAGATTGCGCCATTGCACTCCAGCCTGGGCAACAAGAGCAAAACTCGATCTCAAAAGAAAAGCAGTGAAAAGAGCCCAGGAGTTGGAGCTGGGCGACACTGGGCCGATTCTTTCTTCCTCTCGGAGCCTGAGTTTCCCTGTCTGTGAGAGGCCTCAGGCTGTGGTAGTGGTAGAGTCCTGCTGCTTCGGTGGGCTTCTACAGACTGGAACACATGACAGCATTTTTTACAAAACACCATTTAAAAAATTATTTTGGCTTATATAAGTAATACATGTGCCCTGTAGAAAATTTGGAAAATAAAGTATAAAGAAGGAAATCACCTGTTACCCCACCACCCACAGTGACTACTGTTCTTTGGGGTTTTTCCATACATATTCTGTGTGGGATCTCAGAGCACAAGCTGTTTTATAACCTGCTTCTGCGCCTGAGCTTTTCTCAGCGTGTCACCACCTCACTAGATCCCTCACACTGTCGTCCCTGTCTGCACAGGACCCCAGAGGAGGGGTGGGGCTGCAGCCAACTCTTCAGTGTCGGCAAGCCCTTACAGTTTCCTTCTCAGTAATTGTGTCACTTCTATTTCTGTAGGGCAACGGGACTTGAAGAAGGAGGGCTGTTTTGCCCCCCAAGGGGCATTTGTCAGTGTCTAGACTTTTGATGGTCATAACTTGGGGAAGCAAGGACTACTGGCATGCAGCGGTTGGAGGCCAGGGCTGCTGCTGGACGTCCTGCAGCGCACAGGACGGCCCCCACTAGAGTCGTCCGGCCCAAGTGTCTGGAGCGCCACTGTGGAAACCCCGCCGTGGACTCATTCCCTCGCTGGGAAGTCCCTGAGTGGACAGGAGGGACAGCTGAGGGGGGGCTTGGTGCAGCCAGACTGCCCTGCAGGGAGATGTCTCCAACACCCAGGACGTCTTCCTGCATCCTTGCCACCCCTAGGTACTGTCCTTTGCTGCCCATGTTTGACAGTGCTTTCTAGGAGAACTGCCCGTTAAAGTCTCCGGAGGCCGAGGAGAAGGACGGCTGTCGAGACTGTTGGAGGTTTCGGGGAACTAGTGGCACAGGCAGACAGGATTGTCGCCCCCCTCCTGAGGGGAGTGTATGTTAGGCCCTGCCTGGTCCCCAAAAGAGTTAATGCAGCAAGATAAAATATGTGAGGCACAGGGAGGAGAGTGGGCCCCAGAGAGTTGGGGGTCCAGGCCCTGTGGGCTCCACAGGCCAGCCAAGGCCCCACCCACCTTCAGAGTTTTACTGCCTCAGAGGTCGTTCTGAGCCAGGCCCAGCCCGCTCAGCCTTCCCGGACAGTGCATTGAGAGGCCTGCACGGGGTGATTAGGGGTTCCGCTTGTTTGCCCACTGGTGGTTCTAGGAGCACCCCACTCTGAGAGTCCACATGGGAAAAGGGGAGCGTTGAAACACAAGAAGTGACAGTCCTGCCCAGCCATGCCCTCAGCCCTGTGTTCACCTCACAGTGGGGCCCACGCCACCCCAGGGATAGTCGGGCGGGCTCTGCCCAAGTGGTGAGGGGGACTGAGCCAGCAGGAGCAGCAGGCGGGGCTGCAGCGGGAGCAGCTCTTGAACAGGAAGAGGGCAGCAATGACGAGGTCCCCTGGTGGTGGGGCTTTGCTGGCCAGGTACCCACTGGGTCAGCACTGCTTCCTCACTGCCCTCAGCCTCCCCTTTCCAGAGGGGTCCACTTCCTGTGCTCACTTCAGGCTCTTCATCCCAGCCCTGCTCCCCAGACTCCAGACTGTACAGCTCGGCTTGGCCTGGCCTGGGCCTTCCTGGGAAAAGGCTAAGCCAGAAACTGGCCCCTGTGCCCAGGCTGGTCAGCCAGGGAGGGACCAGTCTAGGGTCCAAAGAATGGATGCAGAAGTCCCCCCCAGCCTTCTGCACCAGGGGACCTGCCCCCTATGTCTCTAGCCTACCAGGTGTTCACTTAGGGAGGTGGACACTTCAACCCTGCCCTTAGGGCCCCCCACATGCCGAGCCCAGCGGCAGATTCGGGGATGTACCCCACTGCTGCTCCTGGACGCCAGTGTCTAGGTTGACAATCCCCTTGTGTGCCAAGGAAGTGAGTCCAGTGATCTGCAACTCAGGTGTCCAGGGACGCAGTGGGTGTGGAGATGCAGGATGAGGCCTGCCCCAAACCCTGATCCCCAGGGGTGGGGCGGAGGCGGCCCTGGCCAGTAGGTGGCAGCACAGGCTGCGTCCTTGGAGCTTAGGAGCTGGAGGAAGGTGGGGAGCAGGATTCCTAGCCCCCGGCTGCCTCACCCGTCCACCTCCACTCCCTGAGCTGGCCGAGCCCCTCACGGTGCCCAACCATAGTAGGAGCCCTGAGCCAGAGGCTGGGCAGGGACAGCAGCAACTGGCAACTAGAGTGAGTTGCAGGGGGTTGGGGGGAGGTTGCATGAGGGACCAGGGAGACCAATCCCTAAACAGCCCCAACCCCCCTTCTGCCTACCTTGTGGTCCCACCTTGAGGCCAAGGGGCTGGACACCCAGAGGCCCCCGAAGTGGCTGCCAGTGAAGGCGAGACCAGTGGTTCCCCAGGGCTGCTAGAGGATCTTGAGGGCTGAGCCCAAGGGCCAGTGGGGTTGGGGGGCTGTTCAGCCTGAAGGCTGAGGCTGGGAGGGAAGCGAAGATAAGAGAGTAGGTGTTGGTGGGGTAGGAGGGAGGTAGGGAGATGTCTGGATCTGATCATGTCGCAGCTTGGAAGACTGGAGGAGGAACCCAGTTGGAGGGACCGGAAAGCTCTCAAGTTTCTGAGCTCAACCCCCACCTCCACTATCCCTACCTCCCCCACCCTGCAGGATGAGCCGAGGAACGCGCTGGGCTCCACCCAGGCCTGAATGCCCTCGGATGCTCAGGCCTGGAGCTCCTCCCTCATTCTCCCCAGTGTTCCTGCCTGCACAGCCCAATAGACATGAGGAAAGGGGCCCATGGACTAGGTGGGACAGGCAGAACAGAGTGGCCACCTGCTGGCCTCTTTCCCTTCTCACGGAAGGCAAGGCCCACGGCAGGCCCAGGACTCAGACTCCTGGGGCCTGGCTGCTGCCCTTCCCCCTCCCCCCGGGAAAGGAGAGGCACCACTCAAGAGGCAGGCAGGCCAAAACCCTAGTTTATTTCAGCATCAGCAGTATCTTAGCCATCAAAAAAATAAACTCTACCAAGGGTGACGAAGTCTCTACAGCAAGGCTAAGGGCTCGCCAGGCGGCGAACATCAGGGGTGCATGGTGGGCACTGCCCAGGCAATAAGTTAGGAAGCAGCAGGGCTGGTGTCGGGTGTGGGCCAGGCTTCACTTCTGGGCAGGCATGAGGTCGTCGATGGCCTGGCCCTGCTCCAGCCGCTGCTCCATCTCGATGAGCAGCTTCACTCCGTCCACCACCATCTGCACCAGCTCCACCTCCGAGAAGCCCAGGCGGTCAGCGTTGGAGACGTCGAAGACCCCGCCCACCGCAGCCGTGTCCACACCGCCTGGGGAGACAGCAGGTCAGGGCGGAGGAAACAGGGCTGTCCAAAGGCCAACAGGAAGCCTGCAGCACCCGCCCTGCTCACCTGTGCCTCGCTTCTGAAGTCGTAGCCGCTTAAGCACCTCGGAGAACTTCTCATGCTTGCCCAGGTGGGGCAGCTTGATGTGCACTCCTGCCCGAAGCCCTGTGCCCAGGTTGGATGGGCAGGTGAGGATGTAGCCCAGGTGAGGGTTCCACATGAACTCATAGTTCTTAGACTTGAAGAGAGTTTCAATCTGCAGACGGAGAAAAGGGTATGAGGGAGAAGGCCTGCCTGAGACTCCCACAGGCCCTGAGACTCCCAAGTCCCAGAAATCCCCCAGGGGGACTGATGGGGCACCCACATCCCTGCTGGAGCCCTGGGGTCTGGGCCTGCCCCGTCCCTGGCACCTGGGTGAGGCCGGTGCAGAACCGGGTGAACACCTCCTTCATGTTGCCCCCCTTCTGCATGGAGATGACCCGCAGGTGGTCCTCCTCGTTGACCCACACCAGGAAGGTCTTATTGTCATTGTGCCTGCGGGAGGGCTGGTCTCAGGGCATATCCAGAAAAAAGCCCCAGGCCGTCCCCAGACCAAAGGAACTTCCCAAGTCCCCGAGGTGCTGCTCCCAACCGTGCCCTGGAGCGGGGGCTGCTGCCAAGACTCCGCCCAACACGGGGCAGGCGGGGCCGAGACGCCTCACAGTGAGCAGAACCCCGGCTGCCATCACGTCGTGCAGTGGTCTGAGGTGGGGCAGGGCCAGGGACCGCCAGGACAGCCCCCCCCGCCCCCCACAGTGGGGGTAGGAGCCCTGCCCCAGGAGAAGCTTCTGCGTCACCAGCCCCTGGTAGAATCCCAGCGACGGAGGAGTGAGAAAACAAGGAGCTCCAGCTCCCGAGGGGCGTCAGGCAGAGGCGCCAGGGACCCCGCCCCCACCTCACGTCTCTAGGGGGGCTGAGTCCTGAGCCCCCAGGGGCCTGGGCCCAGTACCTT